GTTGTTGCTCTTGTGCTCTTGGCTCAAGACTTCAGCCTCCATACGCTTTACTGATTAGGGGCCTTTTTGTACTATTGGGCCACCGTCGTCCACTGATAAGCCTGATCATTAAGTTGACTGTCTTACTTCAACACGCATGCGATGTATTTGTCAGCTTGTACTCCCAGTAAATTAACTGTTCACAGACACAAATTAACCTAACAGAAAATTTACACCTTGAAGAAAATGTAATTTTTCCCTCCTATAGATCTACCTTTGCAAATATTTGTGTATCTACAATTTGAGAGCACTGCTGCTCTTGAAGACAGATTTAAAGGCATGGTTAAAACCTTTATTATAACTTGTGTTTTCCTGTAAGTATTGCTGTGTTTGAAGACACATTTATCACAAAGGATGTGACAGGATTCTGTGCGGTAAGTGCGCTAATAAACCACTGTATGTCATGCCAGATTATATAATTATTGGCACACTGCAATTTTTTTTTTTTTTGTAAACTCGCCAAAGCCCCTGTCAACATGACAGTGCCCATATAATGATAGCGGTAAAATTGCTCTTTCGCTGTCCAGCTCAGTTTGATCAGATGTGGGCTAGTAGAGCCTGTAATGAATTAGTTTTTCAAAGAGTTTTGCTGGTATAAACTGTTTGGTTTAGATACATTGTTCAGGTATAAATAGATTTGTAAAGACCTCCAGGAAGGATCTGACTTTACTATCTGTTTGTTGGCAATGATACCCAGTGTCAGAACTCTGATTTTTCTGAACGTTTACGTCTAAATACAAGATTGTCCAGTAGCAAAAAGCTATCGTGACAAGCTGAAGCTATGATAATAAGGTCATGACTTAATATGCTGAACTAAATTAAAACCCCACCGAAGTTTATAAAATAGACTTCAAAGTAATTAAATTCAAAGAAAAAAAAAACAACAAAAAAAACCAAAACCACAGCAAAACACCAAACCATTTAAAAAGCTGCTTACGTCTAACTGTATCACATCTAAAGTACCCTAAAGTCACCAAACCACATAAAATAGTATTTGAGGCAAACTAGGTAATTAAATAAAATAGTAGTAATATCAAGGGATATTACTCATAAAGGAGTTTTACTTTGTGGAAGATCTGAATAGTAGAATTTTATCCCTTGAAGCACAAAAGACTGTATGACCTTGTAAAAGGCCTTTCTCCTTTTGTATCTCTGCTCTCCACCCATGCATGCATGGAACTTTAACTTGGAATTAAGGTCACCAGATTCCATACCCAAGTAATGCATATTTATTATAAAAATAATAATAATTAAAAAAATCAGACATCACTCAACATCCTGTCTGTTTTCCCTTAGAGTTTCCCCAGCCATCTGCGGAGGAACCATAAAAGCGTGATACTGGTTGAAAGAAAGGAATTCAGCGAAGCTGTCTTCGCTGTAAATTAGTTATGGTAAAAATAAGGTTTGCTTTTGAAGAAGTCTGTTTACCGAAATGTTTTAGCTTTATATGTCTTTGATAGTATAATGTGTATCAAAAATACCATACCAGTTGGAACCCACTCTGCTCCTTCAGGATGTTTTTCTGCGGTCACTTCTAAAGACAACAACCAGGTTTGTGTTAGTTACCAGTTTATGATTGGTGGCTAGGAAATAGAGAGGAAGAACATCAGAAATTCAAACTTACGTATGCTATGCAGGGTATATTTTAAATATAATCTCTAAGAGTAAATTGTTCTTTTTTTTTTTTTTTTCAAATTATTCAGAATTTCTGGAAGTACTTTGGGTTTGTGCTTATTTTAAATTTCTTTTCTATTTACTTCTCCAGCAACAGAGGTTAATTTGGCTTAGATCTTTGTGGAACCACAACCTGAAAATGAGGTTTTGGACAGTCTGAGCAAACTGATGCCAAAAGAACAGTCTTGCTCCCTGTGCTCCTCAGTATTGCCCCAGGGAGGGGAAGAGTGTTGTCACCTGAATCTTCACGCGCTGCCTGGCAAATCTCTGTTCCCTTGGGTTTTAAGCTCTTTCCTATACCGTTTCATGGAGATGAAAACAGCACCTTCCAATCTCTTTTCTAGAAGTCCAAAAGCGTTCATGACTCCCTTGGGCATCAAAAAGAATGAGAAAGCAAATAAGTAGCTTGCTTTTAAAACTTAATATTGTGCATCACATAGAGGAAGCTCTGGAGAATAAAATGAGGTGGTTTGGGCCTCTATTTTGTAATTTCAGCTCACCGGTACTAATGTTCGAACTACAGGAAGAACTGAACGTAATGATGGAAGTTGCATAGTCTCTCAGCATAATCTGCATTTTTTTGCACAAATTTTTAAAAGCTTTTTAAAAAGATATCCCGTGTATTCTGAAGAGGGCTATGGTTAAAAGCCTTTCCAATGTGAAAAAATGTTTCTGATCTGAGATTATACTCAAAGGCACATTCCTCTCCTTGGCTATTTTCAAATGATGGCTTCTTCTTATTTTTAATATCATGAGATTATCTCATTGATTGGAAATTCTTTTTTAAATTTATACAAACACATGAGAGCAATATCAAAAATATAAGCCTGATCAAGGATGAGGACAATGATACTGGATTTGCCTAGGAACAGCACTTTCTGTCTTTGTGTGACTGAACTAAATGCTGGTTACTTGCTGGTTGTTGTTTTTGGGTTTTTTTTTTCTTCTATCTTCAAATACAGAGCAGCAGTGTTTGTCTTACTGATTCTCAAATGCAAGTCTTAGTAATGGATTCCTGACAGGGAGCAGAAATGGGAATCATTTTTTTGTAGGTAAGTGAAGGTAACTATATGGCCGATTAAAATTGACTTAAAATTCTAGTTTAGTTTTTACTGCTGCTTTCTCCCTCCCATCCTTGCTTCTTTTTTTTTTTTCCTCTCGTTTAAAAACCCTTTATTTTTATGTGTAAGAATATTTCAATCTAATTACCAAAGGACTAACGCAGAAAGCGGGTAAGAGATTCTTAAAAGCGTTTAGGAAACAGTCACATAAGTTATGCTGAAGTGATACAAACTGATTCTGGACCTTATTTTTACTGATTTAAGGTGTTCTCTTAAGGTTCAAGCAACGTTAGTAACTAAAGCGGAGCATATCTGGGACCCAGCGGACTCCCCTCCCTCACAGAGGCGCTGAAGAAACCCGCCCAGGCCCAAACCCACACCTGTGAGGGGGAAACTCTTGTCAGGCGGCAGAGTTGAAGCTGAGGAGAAGGGTTTAACCCGGCGGCGCTCACGTACGGAGCCGCCCCCGAGGCGGGAACGGCGGCGCCTCAGGCCGG